GGAAATAACTTTGATCTCTCTTTCAGTTTCCCACCCTTCCTTTGGGAAGAAGTAAAAGCTTGCAATGGAAACTTCATCAAAAGTTTCATGTTCAAGAGTGTGCTCTTTTACATAGATAAGCCAAAACAGTGTTTAGAAGTCCTTCAAATAAATCAGTTAGGGATCGGGTGAAGCAGCTCTTGCCTGTAATCCCAGCGCTTTAGGAGGCTGAGGCAGGAGGATGGCTTGAGGCCAGGAGTTGGAGACCAGCCTGGGTAACATAGTGAGAACACCATTTCTTATAAATTAGTCAGGTGTGGTGTTGAGTGCCTGTAATCCCAACTACTTGTGAGGCAGAAACAGGAGAATTGCTTGAGCCCAGGAATTCGAAGCTGCAGTGAGCTATGATCCTGCCACAGCACTCCAGCCTGGGGAATAGACTGAGCCCTATCTCTATCAAAACCAAAAAAACCCAAAAAGTGTTTTTTAATCAATTAGTAGAATTTCCAGTCCGGCTCTATATACCATCCCTTCAAGGCTACCTGTTTCCCTTCATGTCCCAAATATTAAAATATTCTAGAAATAAACCTGATTATGTCAGGTCTCTACCATTATATTACTTATCAAAGAGAAACAGAGAAATCTCTGTTATTAACAATTTAATCTCAAAAAACTCAAAGTAAAAACATAGAATAGACTTTTTCAATCATCACAATCTTTAAAATGTATTGATAGTTCCACAGCAAATATTTAATCTTGGAAACCTTACAAAAAATCTTGAAAATAGGAAAATTAAATCAGAATGGCCAAAATGATCCCAGGCATAGATGGATGTGTAAAATGAAATTTTTAATCTTAAAAATCCTGTTATCCTTTCTTTCCATTGCTGAAGTCAGTGATTAAAAAACAAACAAAACCATCCCCAAACTTCAGAGTTTTTATCTGCCACCACTAATTTTTGACATGATGTTTTGGGGTATTTCATGGTGCTCATTATTTTAAGGATACTCTTAAAAAATTAGAAAACTCGTGGCAATAAAGTGTTTAGCGAATTACATCATAAAGGCATCTAGAGGAGAGTATAAATTCGTTACTCTAAGAAATCTTTGGAAAATAAATAGATTAATAAATAGTTTTGGGAAAAGCAAAGGAGCAGTCAGGATGCCTTCCCCAAACCCTGATTTTAAAACCAGAGAAACCAAGCCTCAGGAGCCCCTTTCTCCTTGTGTTACATGTCTATTTCACCTGCTTGTTCCACAGCATTTTATACAGAACCCCCCTGTCTATAGGACTTCCCTAATGATTGGAACCAGTGTTTAAAAAGCGGTGAATAAAAAAATATTTCTTGATTCTTAAAATTTTACAGTGTCCTTTGCTCAAACATTGGAAATACTGTACATACAATCCAGCTGAAAATAGTCACCATTTTCAAAGGGCTTTAAACCCCAAACGTCATACTCTAGCCATCATTGGGAAAGCTTGGGAAAAAAAAATAAGGCCATTTATGAACATACTCACTCTCGGGCTGCTTCTGTTTGCATGACCAGGGCTGCCTCTTTGGGGTTTTCAGGGGACTTCAGTCCTTGAGTGTTCTGCTTGTATTTTTTAATTAAATCCATCAGAACAGCCTGATGCCCAATTTTCTTTACCAGTTGCTGAACCATCCGATCATTAAGTGCAAGGAGAGCAGCCCCACTTACTTCTTCCTCTGGGAAAAAGAAAAAAAAATAGTTTCTACATGACTTTCTGGCAAAACACAGGCATTCTGAAGAAGCAAAATTATCTCTAGTGATAAAAGGATCGTCTAAACTTGTCCCCTGCCATTATAAATTTATCCATATTTTTAACAAAGATAGAACGCTGATGTTGTATAATTCCAAATCAATGCCTGCTCCTAAGAAAGTGCCAGAACATGGAATCATAATAAAAACTTACAATTTCCACATTAATATCCTCCCCATTCTAGTTCTCTCTAACAGGCATTGTTTAATCTCAGGAAAGTATTCTCATAATAGCTCCTATCCAATATGCAACCTTGTAAACCCAACACTACAAAAAATACATACTGTATTATTTAAGAACAAAAGCAATATTAAATGCATATATCAAATACGTATTTTAAGTAACCCTTAAGACTTTATTTGAGTTCTTGACATATTATATTCTCCTGTGGACGTTACTTTCAAATAGAAACTCTGCAACAGTCCATGAAGAAATGAAAAATTCTCTACTGCAGCAACTCCACATCCACATTTACATGCACACAGACATTTGGCAACAAAAGTAATTTTCAATAACAGAGGACATCAGAAGATCTAGGCTGATCAATTAAAATTTTTGGAAAGTATAAACAACTCACCTTGAAACCTCTGAACTAGCTCTCCTAAATTTTTCTCCACCAACCAACTGCAGACCTGTTCAACTGACCAGGTTTCCATTGCTGTCTCCTGTAAATACACCTGTAGAGCAAAAGGTCAGAGAATTCTCCAGCTTTTCTTTCTGACCCTGCCTTAATTTTTTTTTTTTTTAACAATCAGCCCCTTCCTTTGCTAGACTCCTTTAGACTCTCAATGTTAAGCTTTTTTAAAATTACTATTTTTACAATGCACATTTAAAAACTGCTAACAAAACACACACTCGTTTTAAATATAAGACCTGATTTAACCTATTTTCTAGTATCTCATTTCTCAAATTTCTTCACCTTCTCCTATGTTTTTTCCATAGGCATCCCGAAGCTTTACTAACAGCCAGCCAGAGCCATACAGTGGTACCCAATCCTGTACCATTAACACCCAGGTTTCTTCACAAAGAAAAGAAAGGTGTGAAATTCACCACTACTAGGCTCCTCAGGAAGTGGTTGACATTTACAGAAGGGGTGGGCAGGGAGGAAGGGAGGAAGGATCAGATAAAAGCCTGACTGAGATACTTAGTAAACCAAGACTGGTTAACCCCTTGCTTCTCCTAGTTAGGTGAAGGAGCTTGGAACTTACTGCTTCTCATTGTTTTGGTTTAGCAAGAGGAGAAAGTAGGACCCAAATTTCTCAGGACCATCTGAATGTTTCTGTCCTTCCTTCCAATAATACTTGTACATATCCCTCTGAGTTCTAGAACTTTGTTGGACACTGTTATGATTGGTAAGATAACTAGGATAAACTACCGCATAGTTGAAAGCTTTTTACTTAATTGGGCAGATTCAAATTGGAAAATAATTAAATATGTTAATAATCGTTGTGAAAGAAGCATATGCAAAGTGTGCAAGATATATTCTTCAACTGTTTCAGTTATTTTTGCATGCCACTTGTCTCCAACCACTAAGAAAACTTAAAACTATTTCCCTAAGGAAGCTTAGTCCTTGATTTTGTAATTCAGTCCAAAGGACTTCTGATGGACTTGGAGGAGGGTGTGGTGAGGGCAGGGGTGTGGGAGGGTGGGGTAGGATGGGTGGGTGAAGGGAGAAACTAAAATAAATTTAAAGCATTTAACCTTTTAACATGACATGGCAATTTCAAATTACAATGTAAATGATATAGATTTACTTGTACATTAAGATACTGACTATTTTATATAGACCAAGGAAAAAGCTACTTATGGAGAAATGGAATCGTAAGGAAAGATAAAAATACTTATTAATCATGTATTTAAATTTTATTGATGGAAGTTCTAAAAAGAACTATTATTGCATTTTTCATTTTTGTATATTTAAATAAGTTACAATTACCAACATCATAGTTAGAATAGTAGAAAAGGGGAAAGATGTTTACCTTGCATATGTAACAAGCTGAAAAGTCAGTCTTCAAGAATCATTTCCTAGAAAACAGTTTGACTTCAAAGTAATAAGCCTCATACTCATAAGTATTCAAAAACACCAAGCTGAAAAATCGAAAACAAGGGTTAAATATAGAAGAACATCTTTCTGCATTTCAGCAGTGGATTTAATTTGCTATGACAAACAGTAGCCATAGAACTCCTCCCCTAGGCTAAGCAGCAATAGCAGGGTGTGAAAAGTCATTATTTGCGAGACTCTGGTGTAAATTAAAAATCACACCTTTCTGTCACACTTCTGGTTTCCTTGTGAAGAGTAGGTCTTAGGGAAAAAATAGAAAATAAAGAAAAAATAAAACAATCCTCTAAACTCTAAGATTAAAAGGTATGCAGAGTAGAAGATACTGCCTTGTAGCCATCGATGGATAAAAGGAAATTTGAAAAAAAAAAAAAGAGGAGTACTTGGAAATGATCACATATTTTTTAATTTGCGGATTCTTTCTACAATTCTACTTCTGGGAAAAACAAAACAGGTTAAATTATAACCTCATACAAACACAATAAAATAAAAAAGCATATAGTTTTTGCCTATTAGCTTTTCTGAGGAGTTAATAAAACAATATCACTAGCTAGACAATGTAACATCTTTGAGGAGTAACGGTACGACTTCTTCTCACGTAAATAATGGATATATTATTTATGATCATCTACACCATGAAGGCACAAATTATATATCAGATGAGAAAAGACATATCTGGTAGCTTTATTCTGAGCTCCAGAAATATCTGAAAATATTTCAAAATGTGAAGGCAAGCATTATCCCTAAATAATTGAAGGCACAATAATTTTTAGGAAGAATTAATGATAACATTATATATGAATGCTCCTGCTAAACCATTCTTATTATTTGAATTGTAAAACAAAAAAAAAATTGTATTAAGTATTCATCTAAAAATTTGTATTAAGGCTTCATCTAACTAAAGCCAAGAAAAGGTAAGACTTTAGCTAAAACAGCCTAAATATGGGCAAGCTTTATTTAACAAATCTGTTAAAATTACAAAGGAAGATAATAGGGCCACCTGCTGTGAATGTGATTTATCATCTTCAGGGGGCAATTTAATGTATAAAACATCATAAAAAACATATAAAAACATCAACCACAAGAGAGTACTTTTAAGGGAAATATGAACCCTTTTTGCTATCTTTCTTCCTATTTGCATTTTTAGTTTTGTCTTCTGAAGTCCAAAAGGTGGGACAACAAAAGATTCCTAAAAGTTTTGCTGACAGCATATGCCCTCTCCTGGATGAATATCTCATTCTACCCTGAGAAAAAGTATCTTCTACCATGGCTGAACTTGAAGGGACAAACCATTGATCAAATATCAGTTCCTGTTGGTAAAAAAAAGAAGGAAAATTGAGGTACAAAAATAAGGGGCTGGGCACCGTGGCTTACGCCTGTAATCCTAGCACTTTGGGAGGCCGAGGTGGGTGGATCACGAGGTCAGTAGTTCAAGACCAGCCTGGCCAAGATGCTGAAACCCAGTCTCTACTAAAAATACAAAAAATTAGCAGGGCGGTGTGGTAGGTACCTGTAAACCCAGCTACTCAGGAGGCTGAGGCAGGGAATCTCTTGAACCCAGGAGGCGAAGGTTGAGGTAAGTTGAGATTGTGCCACTGCACTCCAGCCTGGGCAACAGAGAGATATTCTGTCTCAATAATAATAATAAGAAGAGGAAGAAAAAGAAGTATGTGGCTGTCACATACAACAATGTCTGGGCAATTCTCTTGGGTAGCAGCCTTGCTACCACTGGAGGCGATAGTGCTGTAGAACTCTCTCCTTAGTTCAGCTAGGAGCTGGGTTCTTGTCACATGGTCATGAAATATTAGATCTAGGCTCGCAGACACTTTGAAGGATGAGAAAACAGAATTTATCGGGCCAAAAGGAATAAAAGGGGAAACAGGGGCTCTTAGCAGAGCGAGAGTCCTGGTAGTAGATGCTTCCCACATCACAGATTAAATTCCAAGCTCCCACCCCAGAACAAGGGGGGCCAGGTCCTCCCTGCTGCAAATGGCGCAAACTTCAGTGGCTCCACCCCGTTCTCTCAGTGCACAGACTGGTCAGGTGTTTCAAAAGCAGCATGGTGTTCCAATGGAACATAACATCTCATCCACTATGGCATGATATTCTTCCAACCATCACCAGAAAACATGAAATAAAAACTGCAATATTCAACTCAAATACCTTGCATATGCTAGTCACCAAGATGTTTACTGCCTAGATAGATAGCCCAAAGTGGGGTGGATGATGATCCACTAAAGAAGTTACAAGCCTTACTAAGAAGATAAGATACATAGATAAGCAGAATATGATATACAGCCAATTATGATGGGTGCTTTAGAAAGCACTGTGGGGCTGGATTTTCCCACAGTCTCCTGGAAGCAAATGGATCTTGATTTGGAATTAAATAATGGACATGTTTTAGATACCAAAGAAGCTGGAGAAAGCAGGATCAATATAATGAACTCAAAATAGAAACCCAGAAATAAATGAGTCACGTTTTGGAACCTCAGGGAAGACCATGCTGCCTGGAATAGGAATGCCATAGTAAGGAACTAGAGGAGACAGGGTCTGAAGACCGCAGAAAGGCTTAGAAAGTTAAGAGTTTATAGATGCACTTAAGCTTGGGAGGGTCATTGAACCAAGAGTATGTTCCATGCTTTAAAAAGATGATTTAGGCAGCTGAGTCAAATAAATGACAGAAAAGCATTCTTTCTTGAAGCAAGCTGTGTATGAGATGGAAGGGCTTAGCCTTTACTAAACATCCGTATGTGCACCAATTTTCCTCTGCTTTAGAAAACAGATATTTATATTAATCTTTTAAACATTTGAGGACCAAAACTATTAATTTTTTTCATATATCATGGTCTGAAAGGGAGTGACAGCTACAAAATTAGCAGACACCAAGCAAGTGAAACACACCAAAAGGGGCTGTGTGTATCCATTATGCTGAACCATATGAAACAGCCATTTTTTTAAATTATAAGGATTTATTTTTCATTAAGAAATTTTTTTTATTTCCATGGGTTATTGGGGAACAGGTGGTGTTTGGTTACATGAGTAAGTTCTTTAGTGGTAATTTGTGAGATTTTGGTGCACCAATCACTGGAGCAGTATACACTGCACCCAATTTGTAGTCTTTTATCCCTCACCTCCTTCCCTGCCTTTCCTCCAGTCCCCAAAGCCCATTGTGTCATTCCTATGTCTTTGCATCCTCACAGCTTAGCTCCCACTTATGAGTGAGAACATATGACATTTGGCTTTTCCATTCCCGAGTTACTTCACTTAGACTAATAGTCTCCAATCTGATCCAGGTTGCTGTGAATGCCATTAATTCATTCCTTTTTAGGGTTGAGTAGTATTCCATCATATATATACATACCACAGTTTGTTTATCCACTTGTTGATTCATGGGCATTTGGGCTGTTTCCACATTTTTGCAATTCCAAATTGTACTGAAACAGCCATTTTTGCACATACGAGAATCTAAGGTCAGTATTTCCTATGGCTGAAGTTATTAAAATCTTACTTTTGTAAAAATTAATGTCTTTTTATCTAGCAAGACTTACCAGAGTTGTCTGTAATTCACAACATCTCCGATAAATTTGAAGACTGTGGTGAGCACAGTCACAGTAACTTAAATTTCATATTGTTATATTTTCAAAGAAACTAAACACCAACTTATCTGGGAGGTTTAGTTAAATTAATGAACAAAAATAGCAATAAGCCACAATCCCAGATCTTTGGAACTTTTGAGTCACAAACACCCTGATCTTTTGGGCTTTGAGTCAAACTTACGGTTTATCCCTTCTTCTGTTTTGTTGACAGCAAAGCTTATGGTTCAGCAACACACACTACAATCCTACGGGTTTTTGCCAGAGATGGTAACCGTGAACTGTGCTATCGAATTTTATCAAAAGCTGGATGTGTGACTGAGAAGTCTTGTTAGTTTGAAGATGTCAGTTACCTCAGAATTAATTTATAAATTCCAGTTAATATTCATATGTGGTTATATGTTTTACTATGAGGCTAATTTTTGTATGGAAGAATACATAGGTTTTTAAAATTCTTATTTATTCTTATTTAAATGCTTGGCAAAAGGACTTGCACTTTCAGATGTTAAAAAGTGTTATACTATTAACAGCATGGTACTGGAGGAAAAGAGAACAGATATTGAAACAGAACAGAAACTTAGAAACAGAAATATTCATATGGAAGTACTGAAAAGATCATTAACATTGGTGACGAAGAAGGGATTAGTCAATACATTTTGTTGGGATAACACCTCATAACACCCACACAATAAATTCCTC